GAAAAAGATGAAATACGTACTGATTTAAAAGAGGAACCGTGGGACCAAACTCGGCCTTTAATGATAAGTATAGATATAGATGTGTAGTATTAGGCTTTTGACAAATTGAAAGAGATTTTCACAGATAAAGAAGTAGATTGATAGCAGGCATAACAAAACACCTCCTTTGCTGGGTTTTAAAAAGAAATATACATTTAGGTCTTCCTAATTAATGACTGAAAAGTTAAACCAAACTATTCATTTAATATACATAGAGAAAGGGAGAAACATATGTTTCGTTTACGCATTTTAAGACCATTGCATAGAAAAAAATAATCAGATAATCTCGATCGACCATTTCAACTTATTAGACAATCATAAAATAGTGTAAAACTAAAGATTTTACACTGTATAGGTGGATCTACTCGTATATGTGGGTGTAGTTGATAATAGCTTCTTTTGAGTTGATAATAGTTATGAAAAGAGAGAAAGGATGAAGGTGGGTAGGAATAATAATGAATTAGTTGTAAATAGCAACTGTTACAAAACGCAAGGAAAGAAGTTAAATTGCATGAATATACCATGCATTCTGTTGGACAGTGTGACTTAACAATGGGCGCTCCCTCCCACGTTTTCATGCAAAGAAGTTCTCGATCTACTCGATCACTGCACAGACTTTTCATTTATCAAAAAAAAAAAACTTCCTTATTTATTTTCTCTCAGAGCAGCAGCAGCAGAGAGATGAAAACAAGGAACGTCAAAATATGGCCGGGAAGGGTCACTTTCCCCCTCTAATGAATCCGATGGCTGGCGGCCTCTCCAGTGGTCTCCATCAACCCAACCTGATGTTGACACGTGTAAACAAAAAATAAAGAAGAAATGAATGATAGTGTAATGATGATAAAATTATTATTTTGACATTCTGTAGACTGTTTTTTCTGAATATGTATGTGCACAGTATCAAGTGCTGTGCGCAGAGAGTTGCAGGCTTTGATGTATGAATGAATGAATTCACTGATGACTGAGTCTGACTCAGTCTCTGACCCTAAATACCAAAATTAAAAAGGGTCCACAGTACGGCCTCTCTTCCCCATATTACTGATGGAGTTTGAGTAGCTCAAGACGTTTAGCCTCAGTCTCCGTCTATTGTTGTTTACTTGTTCCCACTGCTGCACTCCTTTATTTGCTTACTTCTCTCCTTTTGTACAATCCCTACTAAATAAGCAGTCCGATTTTGATACATCCTTTTCTTTTTTATTTAATAATGAAGTGACAACGGGCTAATCTAGGTTTATGAAATGTCCCATACCCTCTCTTTAATATGGGTGAGTGAATGGATACGTACACTACTCTTTGTTTAGGGAATTGGGTAATGCTTATCTGCTGTCCTATATGCATTAGTAGCCCAAAATATTTGGTGAATGCCTTTGCTCAATTTGACACTTTTATTACTTTGCTAATCTCTTAGGAGTGTGTAAATAATCGAGTTTTAACAAAATAGTTTGTGTTCGTATTTTATTTAAAGTGTTTATGTTTAATTTGTGTTTGTTTGTTTATTTTTTAAAGTGTTCGTGTTCAATTTGTTTACCATAAATAAATATATTTATTTATAGTTCGCCAACATATTCATTTAACGTTTGCGGACACGCTTGGTTATATTTTCATAAATGTTTAACTAAATAAACAAACAAAAAAATTAAATAAAACAAAATCAACTAAATGGTGTAATTACACTACTAGTCTCAAGCTCCTTAGACTTTAAAGTTTGAACTCCAAAGTATCATGTGTTCAATTTAGTCTCTACCTTCATCAATATTCAAAGAGATGATTGTTATCCCTAGAGGTCTCGAGGAAAAGGAGAGTGGAGTAAAAAAGCCAACAAACGATCTTATAAACGAGCCAACAAACGAGATTGGTCATGAACATAAACGAACTAAATACATATTTGCATGTGTTCATTCGTTTAATAAATAAAAATAACAAAACTGTTCATACTCATTTATTTACCTTAATAAACGAACATGATTAAAATTATACGAATGATTTACAAATGGAAGCAGCTAAACAGAGAGATTTTACAACAGAGAGATGATTGTTCTAAAACAGTGTTTGGGCCTTTTTAAAAATTTGCTTCAATTTAAAACAGCGTGACGAATTAATGACATGTCTAAATAAATTTGATTGGACTTTAATCATATTAATGACCTCAAATCAACAAAGTGGTTTGTTTGCTAAATCGGATGTAAAGTACATTTTGTTTTTTAGTTGGACATATGAAAATAAGATAGACAGCTATGTTCATTGGGTTTGAAAAAGAAGCAAAGTAATAGGAGGGTGATGAAATAGGTAGTGTACCTAAGATTTAAAAGAAAAGAAAAGAGGGTGAAGGGATAGAGGCGCAATGATGAAGGCAATAATTGCTAAAAAGCTACCATGCAGAGAGGAGAGTCCATAAATATGGCGACGTGGCAGCATCACAATCATCATGTTCCTAATGAAGACAGCCGGCTCTTCCTTCGGTTCACTCTGTCCTGTCCATTTCTAAATGTTTTAAGGACCCCTTCACGCGCCATCCACCACACCCCACGCGCCTCCGGTGAGTGATCACCGGGGTCCACTTCTCTGGTTTATATATTGTCCCTTGTGACTTTGAGAAAGAAAGACCGACAAATTTCTTATTTTAAATAAAATAATTTCCCCCCCACGAAATGAAATATTCACTTGTCCATGCAAAAAGCAAAAGTTAAAGCTAAATTCCATGCTACTACGCAGGTATTGGAATGACCTCCATGCAAAAAGAAACAAACTTTTTTTTTTTTTGCTTTTGTTTTTCTACTTTGATCAAAATCAAATCATTATTTACCAACAAGTACTTTAGTTAGGGTTGGTAAGAACGGTTCCTTCCTAAAAACATCTTCAAGTTTGATTATGAATTTTAACTAACAAATTACTAGTAATGATTAGGTAGACAGGGATATACGTGTGATTTTATATTAGAGAGCGAACTTAAATTTTTAAAATTCTAGGAGACGAACTTAAACTTATAAATTTTCAGGGGATGAAAATAGATTTTTAATCGAAGATACATATACAAAATATAAAATATAAGATTTTAAATTTTATGCACCCTCTTCGTTCCATCCTGTAGGTAGATATTTTTGTAGGGATGTAAATGATTCGAGTTGAACAAATAAGGTTGTATTCGTGTTTGTTTAGTTATTATTATTATTATAATATGGAGATCATGTTTTTCTTTAATAATATTAAGATACTTACATTATAGTATTTGTTTATAATTTTTTTTACCTTATTGAGAACACATACGCATCTTGTAGAGGCGATTATTTAGACTCAAAATTCCTAATTGATTACTCATAAGGTTATGAATTGAAGCGTACAAGAGAGGTAAAGTGATTGAGTGAGCGTGTGGGGGGACATTCCGCTTTAAATATTTGCTGCTAAAAGAAAATGTATGGAACGATGTTTTATAGGTTGCACGGTTGAAAATTGTTTAAATTCCTAGTAGCTTTTTGGTTCGCCTTTGAATTTTTGGCCCTTGCTTTATTTGATTCTTATGGGTTGTCTGGTTAAAGCTAAGACCCATTATATCTCTTTCTCCCTACTCCGTCTCATTTTTAATTTTGATTTGTTAATCTGTCTACTCCATTACTATCTTTCTCACATGATATTTCTTTTTTATAAAATATTTTTGTATTTCTTATAAATCTTCTCTACGAAAGATGTACATGTAAATCTCTATACAAATGAACACATGATATACGTCGACCACTTGTTTCAATTCCCAATAACAATCGTGCCTCGTACGTGTGTCGATGGGGCCTGCAAGCTTTAAGCCAAACCTCGCTTTGTGTAAGACCTCAGCAAAGCAAATAAAAGGTGAGAAAAATAAAGGAAAAGTTATTCCTTCTTTTATTCTCATGGGTTTTAACACCAACGCTCCCACCCTTTTGTTTTTCTTTGCTTTTCATCTAATCACTTTATCTTCACCCCTATGTGCTAAAGCTTAAAGTCTTCAACTAACCTACAAAAACCAATCCCATTTCCCACCGGGGTTCCATTCATCAACCCCTTCTTCCTTTTGCCTTCTAATGGAGAAAAAAAAAGTTATACAATACTATAATGGAATATCTCACAAAAGGCTGATGCATTTGCTAAGAAATTATAATAACCCTACTTAACCTCAAAGTTTTACCATTGACAGATCCACTGAGGCGTGAAAGTGGGCAAATGCTCACCTTTAAATTCGATTTTTCTTATGACAATTACTTTACTCGCTACGTCTCATCCTAAAAAGTATTTCTGTATTCGCTACTAAGTTTTACCCCCCACTTAACCCGAAAAATGTTACGCTGATAGTTTTGCTTCATAAATTTTCCACCATGCTTTTTCATGTGATTGAATAAGGCATTACCAAGTTTCATGGATTGCCAAATCTTGGAGGAGATTGAAGATTAGTAGCATCCATTTTGTGGACCAATCGATGTGGGGGCGTCTCATTTTTTGTTTTCTTTCTCCGAAGAGAGAAGGAAAACCCTTAATTCATCACCACAAAATCAGCTCAATGAGGAGATATTAGGGTATTTTAGTATTTTCGCGATGTTTCGAATTTGGGGGTCCTTGATCCACGATTGTGACCACACAACAAATGCTCGGACCCAGTCACCTGCTACCTCTGTAATCATAACTTGATAAAGCTAGCAAACATCAGAAACAAGAGCCATGCAAAGTGAAAATTACACAAGCCTCCTAGCTAATAATATATATATGTGCAAGCCAAAGGCATGAAATTTTGCGCTTATGGAAGGAAACATCTGACTAGAAAACAAATGATTTTGGTAGGAATCTTTCTGTACATAAAGACTTATATATTGTTGTAATAATTATACCTTTATATAGATAAAAAAATTCATAGCTTATATATTCTTCAAAGCTGCTTTTCCTTTAACCCCCAAAGTATACAGCACGTGACAATGCCTAGGAATTATGGAGTGATAAACAGACTAAAAAATATATATATTTGTAGAATGTAAAGTGGTCCATTACAATTACCAAGGGATCACTTCATACTTCAAAAGATAGTTAAAATGGTCACTCACTCTGTCTCAAGCTGCAGAATCAATTAGATTGACTGATCATATTTACTTACTAACATAATCTGTTGATTTGAATCTCTCAGGCTCAGAGGCTTTCTTTCTTTTGGGGCTTAGGGTTCTTTTTTTGCTGCTTTCAGTCATGTTCTTGTCTTCTTCTTTCGCTGCTGACTTCACTTCCCTCTTCAGAGATATATAATCATTTCAAAATGAGTAGCAGTGTACACACACAGAGATATAAAAAATAATTTCTTTTTATATATAAATCCATTTTCCTTCAACATTTTTTTATATCAGTGTGGCAGTACCCCCAAGGTGAACTCCAAATTAGGCCTCTTGGGGCTTGTCCCTGATAGGCTTGATGAGCTTACATCTGATAGTCTCTCATGGCTTAAGCACTTTGGATCTATATCCTTCTGCAACATTAAAGCAAAGCAATAAATATGAGAAAAAGAAGCCTTTAGAGAATTAGAGCTATGGAGTATGCCCCCAAAATTTTAAAAGTTCTTCAATTTTAACATAATCTGCGTAAGTCCCGTGCGCGGATGAATGCTTCGTTATGAAAGATGATAGGTAAGGTGTTTGTTTTGTTTTGAGATATAATACAAGTGCAGTGAGATCGATGATGCATGAAGGATTCTTTAAAGTGCTTTTTAGACACCATTAAAGCATCTTTTTCCCCACTTTTTCTTTTCTGCAAAAATGACTGAATACCCCACGTACTTGAGTTTGTAAATCATCAATAATGGAGTTTGAAAACTCCATAATAACCCGTTGAAATTGTGCATGGCTCAATGAAGAAAGGTTGAGCAAAAAAAGGTTATCTGGTTCGTTGATATATACATATATAATAAAAGAAGGGGTTTGAAATTAGTACCTGGAGAGAGGGTACGTTCCCAGCAGAATCCTTGGGTTTCCCATGCAGCCAAGCTTCCCTGTAGGGAAAACGAAAAAGAGAAAAATTTTAACACCAATTGCACAGTGAGAGAATATTGCCTATGAGTAACATGCAGAAAACTGAGAAAAGAAAGCTATCTTTTATGTTAATAGTAGCAGCATACTTTTTACGTTGTATTTTTATGGTGATTGAAAGTAAAAGTGAAAAGTGAGAACCCATCACCCCCATGTGATTGCCCATTACCCTTAACAAAGAAGGTTCAAAGGTCATATTTTATATAACACAGCTTTAATACCAACAAGATTTCCTCTAATGTGGCCGTTTCAGAGTTTAGCTTTGACACTAAGTTTTCCATTTGCAGGACCCCTATGAGCCCACAAAATCCAAAGGAAAGAGATATCTACTTTGTTTTTTAGATGGATTTGTCTTTCAAGGATTCTCATTTCTTGGAAATATCTATATATATAAGGGAGTGGGTGTTCTTCCTTTTTACCTCACCCACCCCTCACCATTCAACATTTCGTAGTAGTAGTAGTTGCACTCAAATTATATATATATATATATAGAGAGAGAGAGAGAGAGAGATGGGTTCTTTTTCTTGATTTCTTGCATTCTTGCATGCATTGTAGCTATGTTTTGTATTTACATGCATGTGATTGTGGAGGTAGAGGGAGAGAGAAAGAGAGACTATTAATGAGTTCTTTTAGTTTTGATTAGTATTCATGAACTAGAAACAAAGGGTCCAAGGAAAATAGATAAGCTGTTTGTCTGTTCTTGTCAAACAAGAAGATAAAACTAAACTCGAACTACATTTAAGTTTATCAAGTTGTTGCGTGTTCCTTGTATGCCCTTTTACTTTTATTTTTCACGGAAACAAAAAGGAGAAAATTTTCTGACTACCCAAACAGTGGAATACTAACCTTGATGAGTTGCTCCACAGACCATGGTATTCTTTGTCTTGATGAGCATTTGATGATGACGATGATCTTCCTTGCTGAACTGATATCTCCGATCTCCTTGGGTTCTGAATGTCGATCATCAAATCTTCTGAAGTATCCCCAGACGACCCGTTCTCAAATTCATCTGATTGTCCTGTTTAAATTAAAAAAATACTTTATTTTAAACCCACCATGTTTAAGTTTAATGAAAATCGAGAAGAGAGAAGTTTCAGCACTATTCTCGAGACCAGTGGGAACAATGGACTCCAAAAGGCTGCTGGCTATTTAGAACAGCTTTGGATGTGTGTCAGGAAATGAAAAGCCAAAGTGTAAATGGTTTTGGTCATTGAATCAGACCAAAAAAAAAAACTACAATCAACTGGTCTGGTCTCTATAATGAAAATTGTTTGGTTCTCAAAACTAGCAAAGTGCAATTACAAAAATGTATTTCGAGAAGAAATGTGCAGAAAAGGGGTAATTAGTTGTTTTCAGAGTAGATAATGTTTCATAGGTTATAAAAAAAGGGAAATTCGAACAAGATGAAGAAACATTGCAATCTTACCGGAAGTTGCAGCTGTTCTGTCTGTTGTCTTCACAGTTCGATACATCTGCAAGAAAAAAAAAAGATGATTAATAATTTGCTAAGGAGTAAACAAGTTATGCATTAGAGCCGCTGAACGTAATTAAATAAAAGTTAAATTAGCATTTTCTTATCCTTTTTTTCGTAGCTTATATATATAAAGGTTAAATAAAGTAAAAAACCAGAAAGTAGACCAATAATAAACTGTTTCTCTGTGTGTTACACAGTGCATGCAAGTCCTAACTGTTAAAAAGTAAATGATATATATATATATATATATATAGTTTTCAGCCAAAGGCTTAAATTTCTTTTTTATATAATTTTATATAAAAATACATATTAGTTGTGGCTTCAAATTGAAAATCTTGATTCTGTGCAACTTCTTTGAAGACGAGAAATGTCGAAAAGGAGGGTTTAACTGTGCTTAGAAGGAATTTATGCGAGGAAGATATCATAGTGAAATGATTGTGCTGTTGTACTTGAATTTGTTTATATTTCCTTTTCTCTCTCCCTCTCAGTGTGTAGAGAAAGAATGTATATTTTAAATAAATAATGGAACTTGGCTTGAAGAAATTAAGGGGGGAAAAATGGAGAAACCCAAAGTTGCAGATAACTTAAAAGCAAACATTTGAAGATAATGATCAGATGAAAGCCTACAAGTAGCAAAGCTGAGATTATTTACCTGTAGATGGGATTTAACATGTGCTAAGGTTAGATCTTTGACATCCATTAGCTCAAGAACTGATTTGGGTGTAGCTCCTAAAGCATCCCCAACAAGAATCACAGAATAAAATCAATCAACAAATGGAAGAAAAAGTAGAGGAAGAAAAGAAGATGAAGAAGAAGATAAATGGAAGAACATACTTTCGTGACCACCCAATAACTCGACAGCATGAACAAAGCGAGCATGGAGTGTAGTAGTCCACCTCATCCTTGGAGCTCTCATGCTTCGTTTGGTCGGAAACCTCGACATGAACCTTGATCTCATCAACCCTTGTGACTGAAAGGGGCTCAAGCTCGTGCTGCTGGCGTTAATGCTATTACAAGCCAAAGAAGAAGGACATGACTCCAAAGGCTGTTGAGCAAATGGGAAAGGAGGAGGAGGAGGGTTTTGGTAGACGGGAATTCCCCTTATGGGTCTCAAGAAACCAAGCTCCTGTCCCAGCCCTTGCAGCTGCTGCTGCTGCTGTTGCCGCTGCTGATACAGTACCGGATGTTGCAGATGCTTGTGATGATGGTAAGGGAAATGGTTTTGATGATAACCATGAAAAAGATTACCATTACAATTGGTGTTTCCATTTTGAAGAAGCTGAAGATGGTTGGAGTTCGACTCTGAAATCCTCGGATTAGACAAAGATAGGTCGAAAAAGTTATCAGGTTTCGCCATTGAAGACATAGAGTTCCTTGAGTCAAGAGATCTCTTCCAGAAACCCAAATCCATATCTTCCTCCGTCGTCGTCCTACACGTAGATGTAGGTTTGCTGTTGGGTGGGCTGATTTGCAAGGACAAATCTGGGAAAAGCTCCATATTTACTCCCCTTTCTTCTTCCTCCTCCAACCCTTGACAGTGCTCGTGATTCCAACTTTAAACCTTAGCAGCAACTATATATTCCCAGGAAAGGATTAGGTTTTATGTTGGTGAAGAAGAAGAGATGCGGAGAATTCCTGGGTTTTCTTCAGATTTGGTGATTGATCAAAGGGTTTTGAGGGAGAGATGGGAAGAAATGACAAGGTATGAGTAGTATGAAGTGAAGGGTTTGTTTGAAAATGACACTTGATGGTGGTGGTGGTGGTGGATACTACACATACATTACAGAATAATTAATAAACAAAATATAATACAGCCCTACTCCCCAGTATTTCTCTCATCTTTCTTTGCTTTGGTGGATGTGATGTTAGAAGGTTAATTAGGGTGAGAAAAAGGGCAAAGACAACTTTGATTGATTCCTTTTCACTGCTACTCCTTTCCTCCTTTATTTTCTTTTTTTTCCCCATCTTTTCCTTCTTCCTTTTATACTACTATAATACTTTAACCTCTGAATTTGCCCATCAACTCAATAATTCATACTTACCTTTCTAACCCCTCTTCTACCAACTTGCTTATTCCCAAATTCAAAAAATAATCATTTTTAATTTTTTTACCTATTCGGAATTTTAATTATTTTTTTCGAATTATATCATCCAACTTCGCATCTTTACAGAATAGGGTGGATTACATTAAAGGAGTTGTTAGGGTAAAGGTGCTTAAGAGGATCATTAAAGATGATGTTGTTAATCAGAATCTTTGTATATCTTGGGGGATTCATACCTCTTAGGGAGGCTATGTTTTGACTGTATTGATTTGTAGCAGTGTTGTTCTATTGATTCTTGAATAATAATATGAGAAACTTGTCCAAAAAAGAAAAACCTCGCATCTTTATAAATTTGAGATCTAATTTATATGATTGAACTATTATAAAATATTTTTTTATTTATTTGTATATCATTCCATATTCATTTTATTGTTGATGTTTATGATTCATGAATGTCCATAATAATGTATAATTTTCAAAATTTAAACTTACATCATTTTTTTCAGAGTTTAATATATTTTTAACAAACATATGACATGCATTAATAAACAAACTAAATTGACAAAATTGCATGAAAAATACTATAATTGGAATAAAATCTTAAATGAATATTAGAACTTATTTTTTTAAATTTTCTAAATATAAGTATTAAATCTCAAATTTTATTAAATTATGAATAACTTAAAGTCTATTGTATCCTTTTAGAAACCTTCTAAATTAAAATAAGACAATATTTAAAGGTATTTTTTGTTGTATTATTAATAAAAAATTTACTGTATTTCAAAATAGGATGATTATTCTACGCTCAACGAGAAAGAGGAGCACCACTAACGATGATCACCATTAATTTAATTTATAAAAATTTAAAATTCTAAAGGGCTTACCGTATAATTATAATTTAGTTAAAAATTTAAAGGTAAATTATTTAAAATAAAGTATAAAATATAATAGTGATTGTCTAACTATTTCCCCTTTTCATTTTGACTACCATTTTTGAAATTTTATCAATCAAGTCACTCAACTATTTAAATACATTTAATTAGGCCACTTGCCGTTAATATTTAACGGAGAAGCTCATGTGGTAATTAAAGTATCTGATATAATTACAAATTTGATCATTGTTACTTTTATGTTCTATTAATTTCGTCCTAAATTTAATAAATTAAAATAAAAAATAATTGATTTTATTCTATCATATATAATAATGATATATAAATGGAGTATTATTTATCCACCAACCCCATCTTTGCCGTTATCAATTCAAGTACTATATCTTTCAGCATATAAATATTGATTCAACAACAACTTTTATATTTACTTTAATGTAATATGTCCATTTTGTACTTTATAAAATTATTAGAAATTATACGTCACAAAACAATGAATTATGATAATAATGAAGAAAGAAGTATATAATAATAAAAAAGTTATCATTAGAAATCATTTAATTTTCTGGATTTTGGGATGCATTCAAATGGTTGAGAGTTATCTTATAACATATATCATATTGTACTTACTCCAAATTAATACGAATTTTAAAGTTTTTTTTCTTATCACAGGTAGAGAAAGTGTATCAACTAAAAAAAGATTAATTATGTATTTAATCACTTTGGTTCTATTAGTTTATGATAGGAAAGCGGTGGCGGATTAATTAACGTTGCCCTTGTTGAAGAATCAAACCTAGGAAGCTCTTAACTCAATGAAGAATAATGGGAATGAATATGGGAAGGTGGCAACAACAAGTATGATCCTTTAGGGTTTCTTTTAGGTGATGGAAACAAGGTAAAAATTATATTGGAATAATATAAAAAAAAAGATAAAGAACTTAAAAATAAAGTATGATAATCAAGAAATCAAAAGATCTCCCTTATAAAGGTGGATGACAAAGGTGATGATGGTTGGGATGAATTTGTGAAAAATAGATGGATAATGTCCTATCGAGCCCTCCTAGTAGCAATGAAAAGACAAACACGATAATATGACTCTAACCAACCCTCCTAATCGCGATGAAAAGGAAAATTGGAGTGTGAAGATTAATCTTCCTCACAAGAACTTGAAAGAACTCCAGGAGAAGAAGCTTTGAAGCCACAAGACAATCAACACTTGTAAAAACGAACTCTTATTGTATTATTAATCAAAGAAATTTATTTTACAAAGTTGAATGAAGCCTCCTTTATATAGGGGCTGAGTTCTAAAGGTCTCAAATAACTAATGAATAAAATAATAACAAACTAAATATGTCTTAAATATAATTCTTAATAAACTAATAATAACTAAAAATAATTGTTTTAACTCAACCTTAATTCCTAATAAAATAATAAATATAATCCTAAAAGATAATGCATCATCCTATATTAAATTATATTACAAATAATCAATATAAATATTGAAAATTCGTAATATTTACAAAATTGCATATTAATCTCGTGTCGGAATTTTTGCATGCGCTGCCTTCACTAAAATGAACGTATCTTGAGTTTCAGATATCAGATTGATACCATTCAAGAACCGTTGGAAAGATAAGAGACAGACGGTTGTATCTCCAGAAGACATTTTAACCAAATAAGATCAGGATCCCATTCAAAAAGTCGTTTCAAGTCTATTGTTGTTATGGTCTTCTTTTCCAAGGCTTGGACGAGTGGATTATTTGGAAGAGTTATTACTTCTTCCTTTGATGTGAGCCTTGTGATGCATGTATCATCCTCATTTTCTTAAAAAGATTCGACATTGAATTTGAAACATTAAAGGGAGCAACATTAGAATTGTTTAATGATTCATTCACATTATGCTTACCGAATATATATGTTTTGAATCTTCGAGACTTTGTTCTTCTAATAGGTTCGAGTAGAAACATTAGTCCGAAGAAGAATGTATTATGGAATCTGGTGTATTTATCAGGTTATCTAATTATTTGTTTTTCAAAATCTTCATTAATGTTAGGTTTTGATTTCATTTTGATCATCTACTGTTAAAAATTAATAGAACTATTGACTTGACATTTTTTTATTTTTTCATTGATGATGTGGCATTACCTTACGGTGACATGTTAACATCACTGTTAATTTTTAATGACTGATGATCAAAATGAAACAAAAAAGTTATGTTAGTGATGATTTTGAAAAATAAAACAAATAGTTTGGTGACTAAAACGAAACCACAAGAATAATTAGGTGACTAAATATCTAGTTTACCCTATATTTTATTAAACTTGAATTTTTATTGCAGTTCTTTTTGTAAATTATATCCTAAAATCAATTCTTTAATTTTTTTATACTTTAATCAATACTTTATTATCAAAATACTTTTATAAAAATAAAATTATAAATATATATAATAATTTTATATAATATTTAATTTTAATAAATTAAAATTAAGAACAAATTGATAGAATATATAAGTAACACTAACCAAATGTGTAATTATATCAAATATTTTAACTGCCACATCAGTTTCTCCGTTAAATATTAACGAAAAATGGCTTAATTGAATGCATTTAAATAGTTGAGCGACCTGATTGACAAAATTTAAAAAATGATGGTCAAAATGAAAAGGGGCAATAGTTAGGTGGTCATTGGTATAGTTTACCCTTTATTTTAAATATTTTACCTTTATTTTTTAACTTATTTATAATTATATGTTGAGTCCTTTAGAATTTAATTTTTTATAAATTAAATTAATAGTGCTCATCGTTAGTGGTGCTCATCGGTTCACCCTAAAAAATTTAAATTTTCTTATATTTTACGTATTTTTATATTTTCAATTGATTTTTAAATTCACATTCTCTAAAAACTTATAATTTTGTTCTCCTTAAATTTTAATATAATTTATCAAGTTCACGACATAGATTTTTAAGTTCATCCTCAAATTAGTAATGAGTCTTAAAATTCATATGAATGTATTGTACCTATTTTTATAATTTTGTGAATATATATATAGGATGAATCTTCCACGCTCGACGAGCGGTGATGAGCATTACTAATGATGATCATGAAAAATTAATTTATAAAATGTTAAAATTTTAAAGGACTCAACGTATAATTATAAATTAGTTGAAAATTTAAAGGTAACTTATTTAAAATAAAAGGTAAACTATACCAGTGACTATCTAACTGTTGTCCCTTTTTATTTTGACCATCATTTTTGAAATTTTGTCAATCAAGTTACTTAAGTACTATTTAAATGCATTTAATAAAACCACTTGTCATTAATATTTAACGGAAAAGTTGATGTGACAGTTAAAATATTTGGTATAATTACACAATTAATCGTTATTACTTATATATTCTATCGATTTGATTCTAATTTTAATAAATTAAAATAAATTTAACACTCAAATATGCCAAAGTAGTTAATTGAACAGTAATCCAATTTAATGCCAACTGGTACAATTTATCTTTTCTCTTTATTGGCTTTTATTATTTCTAATAATAAAGTAAAAATAAACATGCCAATGTTTTGTGATAAGACGTGCCAACATTTCTTCATATTCTTCGTTTTTTAGCTTAAAATATTATATTTTACATTGATACACGTAATACAATTAGTGTGACAAATTCATGTGTTTAAATTATATCTTTCATGATTTTAGGAGTTTAAATTAAATGTTTTATTTTATTTTGTAATTACTTTTAGACCGTTTGTTTAAAAATATTTATTTTTTAATTACTCAGCTATCCAAGTATTATAACTTTACTTTTACCTAATTCGTTGAGTTATCAATAAAATCTAATTGTT